GCAGTAGCAGTAGCAGTAGCAGCGGTTGCAATCGCACGACCATTCGGCGTGATACTCGCGTCAAGATTCCCTGCTAATCTCAGCTTGTCAGGCAGGATGCCTCGGGTGATTCACCTGATGCTTTCAGGTGCTCCAACTCGACACAAGTTCGCATTTCCTCCGCAGAACTTTGCAGGAGCGTAGATCGCAATCAGCAAAACACATGTCTGTGATTTTCAACCGTCCGGTTACACAAGTTCCAGGCGTCCTCGGAAGGACAGTGGCCAGATACAAAGGCGACAAGCTCGTCCGCCTGTCCAGGCTTTCAAGATAAGCTTTGCCTTGCAGCCGGACCGCTGGAATTTGAGGCGACGGCCTTGTGCCCAAGAGCTTGTAAAAGCCGAGACATAAAGGAGTGCGCCTTTCATGTGAACATATGTGAACACATTCTTGAAACACTGCCCGGTCTATCCCGTTCGCACGATCGAGCCTCGGTAATGTGGCCATGGCTTTGCCGGTGGTGCGCCTGACAGATGCTGTTTCCCGGACTCAGCTAACTTGCTGCCCCAACGTTGTTTCAGCTCCTCGCCTCCTTTTCGTCGCTGAGCTGGCGATGACGATCCTGCGACGCTCCGCAAGGATCCACAAGGTGGTTGCAATTTGTTGCATTTGCTTCCTAGACTTCCTGGCGCTCCATGCGTGAATGATTCAGGAGTGGACAGCTTAGCAGTGACGACGACAAATGACAAGCACCACTCTCTGCCCTTCCTCAGCTTCCTGAAGCCGGCGTGCTAGCTCCTTTTCGGGACTGCGCTCCAGAAAGGCTTTGGCTGCATCCACACCAGGTGTGCGCAGCTGGCCTGACCCCAAGTTTCAGCTGCCTGGGCGCGCTCCTCCAATCACTGCACAAGAGACTCCAGAGAGATCAGGCGGACACGTTGCAGAAAGGAAGAATCACATACGTGCCGTTCGTTGCACCGCGGCCTCCAAGGCTTCTCTGTGCTTTGCCGCTTCCGCCTTGGTCTTCGGTATGAGAACGGACATAACAGACAGCGACTGTCTCTGCGGAATTACCCACAGAAATCCCAAGTACCAGCCGATGCTGGCTTAACCTACATTTTGGATTCTTTGTGATGCTGAATTCTATCACAAAGCATCAAAAGTCAGCAGCATCAACATCTCGAAACCGGGTGTACGCTGTGCCATGTCCCGAAGAAAACTCCTGTGCCCTTGCTGCACCTCTGAGGCTGCATGGTCGCGTTGTTGAGACTCGCCTCGGGAGGGGTAGCCAGGGCACAGCCATGCAGAAACGGCATGCATTCATAAAGCTCCCAGAGTGCGTCCAAGTCTCTTGAAGACTCCAGACAGTCAAGGCGTGCCTTGCAGCTGGGCCAGACTGGGCCAGATGTGCGGGTACACGGTGCACACCACACTGAGAACCCCGCAGTGAGTTGCTTCGAAGTCGATCGCAGGACTCGAATCTGAGCAGTGTGCTCCTGATCAGGTTAGAGGTCTCCAAACATGGCTTCCAAGAAGCGAATCATGGCTCTGAGGATCCTGATGCTGCCGGTTTCCGCCCAACTCTACGTAAGTCTTTTCCTTCTCCACGGCCTCGGTACCGTGGTCTGACAATGATGCGACTGCTGCCACTTCTTCACGGCTGCGAACCCAAGAGAATCTAATTGCCAAGCACACTCGCTGCGTACAGTATCGGCACCCTAGAAACGAGTTCACGTGACCTGGCCTCACGCAGTTGCCGCTGCTCCCCAAGCTCGTTGCGAAACTTGTCTAACCTTTCTGCGGAAGTGTAAGCTTGAACTTCATCGGAGTCTTCTTCTGTCTTCGTTTCTTCGTCTGACAATGCGCTCGGAAGCCCTCGGCTCGGCTGCTCAGCCCGCGGCTGCCGCTCCAGGCGCTGCCGGTCCGAGAGCTTGTCCTCACGGGCCTGGCACCGCGCACTCCGCGCACTAAGCGCACTCGTGTGCAAAGTTAACCTCCGCGATTTCGCGACTTGTCGGTCTCTTCATCACACAGCCCTTCGATCCCATCCACAGCACCCACATCCACTTTTGTGAATAATCACGTGAAAATACGTGAGAAAAACAACTGCTTGGACGTTTGCATCTGCTGAGCCTGCGTAACCCCTGTCATCATGCTTCAAGTTGCCAGCCTTCTGCAGTTGCTCCTTGGTGACCTGATCTGGCAGAACAAGTGGCACGCCACGTAGAGGTCGGAAGCATTGAGACAACTTCTGAGAGCCTTGCGACCAACTTTGCCTCCACATCCGCCAACTGTGCAACGAGGTGCTGCTGCTCTTGGCGGAGCTGCTCGGCAGCCTCAGACGGCTCTTTCAAGCGCAGAGGTACATGCATGTCGATGGAAGCTTCTCATCTGAATGTCCGAGCCGACGACCAGCTCGGTCTCTCGCTCCCGCGCCTCCGCGACAGCAAAAGCCGAACTTCTGACCGCTGCTTGCACTTTGCAGCCTCGAAGGTGCGCAGCTGCCGCTGAAGTGAGCGCC